CGATAACTTCTTGATAAGATAACTAACAAAGATAACTTATTTTCCCACCCACTCTCTAACTTCTATACGTATCCACCTTAATCACTAGAGATTTTTCTCTTTCTTTTCTGTTCTTCTGCAACATTTCCTGTTAATCTTATTTACTATTCCATACCTCCCTTCGACCAGTCCGCTCCCACCGAGAGGGCCTCCTTAGGGTGCCGTCGGCCAGTCAATGCCGGCTGGCGACCCCCGGGGGACAGCCTTCTCTGTGGCAGCTCCTGCCCTCTGGAATGACCTGCCCCCCCGACCTACGTACAGTTGCGGACCTGCGCCTTTTTCGCCGAGCCCTGAAAACCCATCTATTCCGTGCGGCCGGCCTGGCGTAGTCTTAATTAGGTTTTAGTATAGGTTTTTATATGGGGTATTTTAGAGCAGGCCTTTATTTATTTAATTTGATTTTAGAATAGATATTTATTGTGATTTTTATTATCACCTGTTCACCGCCTTGAGTCCCGTAAGGGAGATAGGGCGGTATGCAAATCTAAATAAACATAAACAAACATAAACATACAGTTTATTCACCACTACTGTTTTCTGCGATTAGAAGTCTAGTTCAGCTTGGAAAAGTTCAGCAAAATCCAATTGCTGGATCGCCCCCTCTAAAATGCTACAGAAATCTCGCATTGGCCAATCAGCTTAAAGGTAATCAGGGAATTGTCACCACTGGCAACTATCGAAATTCCGTATAGATCTCGGTTTTGACATTTAATCCCCCTGAGCTTTTTTTCTATGGCTGAGTTTTCAGCCTGCTATTTCTTCCAAGGCACTGAAAGAAAAAAGGAAGGGGAGGATGCTGTGTTGTTGTTTTTCCCATCATGTGGAGAAGGATGAGAGTGGGAAGCGGCAGTTGTAATTACTGTAATGTTAAATTTTAGTTTGTTTGTTTTTTTAAAAAAAATGGGATCCAAACAGGGAGAAGTTACTTCTTTCACTTTTTTCATATATTCTTATTTTTTTCCTCTCTTTTTTTCCTCCACTCTTCCTTTTCTTTTCTTTTTTCTTTCTGCACTTTTTACTTGCCTGAGAGTTTATCTCTATAACTGTAATGCTTAATAAAATTATTTGGGGGGGGGGGAAGCAAAGTGCAAAAGTCCAGGTGGTTAGCTTTGGAGACCTGCATGGCTTGAGATCAGGTTACCTGAGGGATCGCCTTTTTCCAGGAATCTCTTACCCATCCAACTAGTTACTAGATCGATCAGAATGGGCATGCTGCAGATCCTGTCGGCTGAAGAGTGTTGATTGATGGGGACCTAAAGACGGGCCTTTTCTGCAGTGGCCCCTGCTCCATGGAGTCTCCTCTCTTCGGAAATTAGAATGGCCTCAAACCCTTGTTAGCCCTTTGTAAGGCCTTAAAACCTGGACAGGTTCCATGCCTGGGTCCTGAAGGTGTTAAGGGCACTGTTGCCTGGCCTTATTGTCAACTGGCCAAATATTCAGCTGTTGTGTATTTTTGATGTCCCTATTGTTTTTATTGTTTTAAAATGTTAGGAGGAGGAGGAGGAGGAGGAGGAGGAGGAGAAGGAGAAGAAGAAGAAGAAGAAGGAGGAGGAGGAGGAGGAGGAGAAGAAGAAGAAGAAGAAGAAGAAGAAGAAGAAGAAGAAGAAGAAGAAGAAGAAGAAGAAGAAGAAGAAGAAGAAGAAGAAGAAGAAGAAGAAGAAGAAGAAGAAGAAGAAGAAGGGGAGGAGGAGGAGGAGGAGGAGGAGGGGGAAGGAAGGAAGGAGAGAGAGAGAGAGAGAGAGAGAGAGAGAGATGATAGGTGATTGATTGATAAGATAGTGGCCATGAGTGGCACTAAGGCCTAATCACCATCCAAGATTTAGGTTAGGGTGGGGGAACCTAACTGCCATAGAGGCAGAAACAAAACTAAGTCACAATCTTTGGGTGACAATGGTGAGATGCTGAAGATGATGGTGGTGATGATGCAATAACAACCCTAAAAGAAAGAAGGCCGAGGGTTTTGAGCAGCTTCTAACTTTGGGAGGGTGGGAGGCTAGAAGTGTCTAGTTTTGTTTCTTTACAATCAACCAAATCATCATGGTCGCCGCTGTCATTGTGCAAATCATCCATTAGCTTCCTCTGGATTTTGGCACGCTGATGAATTATGCCAGACTTCGGATGCCTGCTCTTTTCAGAAACAATTGGAGCCTCCGTCCTTTGGCAAGCAACGTTTCAATCCAGAGTGGAATTTTTCCAGCTGATTTGTTACGTTCTTGAAAAATGAGGCCTTGCAATGGAAACGCTGACAGATTTAAACTCTGGTTGTATCAGCAAGAGCGGAAAGATTAATGGCGCAGCTCTTCCCCGCAGAAATGCATCGCGCTTCACACTCAGGTCTTCCATATCAGGACATTCTGGTTGCTGCTCTTAATGTGAGTTGTGAGTCCTGGACAGAAAGGTCCAAGAGACCTGGTTCAGAACCCAGAGGAGAATTACATCCCAGAAGAAAAAGGAGAGAGAGAGATGGAGGCGGAGATGGAGGTGGAGAGGGAGAGGGAGAGGGAGAAAGAGAGAAAGACAAAAAGAGAGAAAGACAGAGACAGAGACAGAGACAGAAAGAAAGAAGGAAGGAAGGAGGGAAGGAAGGAAGGAAAGAAAGAAAGAAAGAAAGAAAGAAAGAAAGAAAGAAAGAAAGAAAGAAAGAGGAGAGAGCGAGAGAAAGGAAGGGAGGGAGGGAGAGAGGGAGAGAAAGAGGGAGGGAAGGAAATGGAGAGAGAGGGAGAGGGAGAGGGAGAGAGAGAGGGAGAGGGAGAGAAGAACAGCATTGTCAAGGATGCTAAAATCACTAGTGGATGGTCTGGCACAGATAAGCATTGACCTACATCAGAAAAGCCAGTTTGACTCTAGTGGTTAAAGCACCTGGCTGAAAACCAGGAGATGGTGAGTTCTAGTTCTGCCTTAGAGTGAAAGCCGGCTGCGTGACTATGGCCCAATCACCAGGAGACGGTGAGTTCTAGTCCTACCTTAGTCATGAAAACTGGCTGGGTAACTTTGGGCCAGTCACCAGGAGATGGAGAGTTCTAGTCCCGTCTTAGGCATGACATGAAAGGCGGCTGGGTGACGTTGGGCCAATCTCCAGGAGATTCAGAGTTCTCCCGTGTGTACGGACTTCAGCTCCCAGAATTCCTCACGCACCACGGATGTCCGTCTATTCCCAGAACTCTGAGATGTGAAGTTTGCCCATCCCAAAGTTGCCAAGTTTGAGACACGTTCCTCTAGTTCCTCTTGTGGCCATTTGGCACAAACGAATTCCTAAAAAAAAAAGCCCTGATTGCTTTTTTTTCAAGGCAAAGCTTTTTTTTTTTTGCAAGCTAAAAAGAGATCTATTACTCAAATCAATTCCTTATAGCACCGCTGGCTTCCACGGGGCTCTTTTTTTTATGCGGCGGCCAATAGCTTCAGATAACTGCAAAAATATTCCGTTCTATCAGGAACTCACAGGAGAGACGGAGATGGACAGAGGTCAGATACTGACGGAGCAGAGTCGTGACCCGGCCTGTCCCATTTGTTTGCTTGTCAGTTTCCCCTGCCCTGGAAGCAGAGAAACTTTTAACTTGGAAACATATTTCAAGCTCTTTGCATTTTAAAGTTCTCCGAGGGCCATTTATAGTCACACTCATTTCATTTTAAAAGAAATGGGTCTGACCTCCTTGGTCCCCAGTGCAGAATGTATGTTTAGCAAAGGTATTTCTCTGGTTACGTTGTCTTTATCCAGGAAACCTCAGAAAGGCCGTTTCTTCTCCCTTCTTTTCAGCGTAAATTCAAATCCATCGACTTCCAGTAAGGCCACCAGATTTAAGTTGCAGTTTATGAATTATGCTGGAACCCACTTTAACTGAAAGATACCCAGAGTTGTTTTGAAGAGAGGCAGCCTCATAATAATAACAACAATAACAACGGCAACGATGGAGACAATCACAAAATACAAAGACCTGCAAATAGAAGTGGGACGACTGTGGCAAAAGAAAGCCAAGTTAATTCCAATAGGCGCCTTGAGTGCAATTCCAAAACATCCTGAACACTCCCAGCATTGACAACATCACTATCGGTCAATTGCAAAAGGCAGCTTTACTCAGAATGGCTTAGATCTTTAACCCCATCAAGCAAGAACCTCAGTATGTTGACCGACAATAATAACGATGATCAACAATAACAACAGCAGCCACTTGAAAAGGGAGGATGATCTAGAAAGGTTGTGTTTTCCAAATCTCTGAATCATAGCTGAGATCATAGGCATTCCCAAAGAAGGTGAACGTAACATGTTTCTTCAAGTCATGAAATGATATCATGTATGTATTTGCATCCCCCATTAATGTCAGGACACAAATACTGCACTGTCTGCTTGAGCAGCCACATCTTGATGCAAGTGTCATGTGGACCATCATTGTTTGCTACACATGCCATTGGCAATCTATCCATCCAAGCATCCATCCAAGCATCCATCCAAGCATCCATCCAAGCATCCATCCATCCATCCATCCATCCAACCAACCAACCAACCAACCAACCAACCAACCAACCAACCAACCAACCAACCGTCCAAGCATCTCTCCATCCATCCATCCATCCATCCATCCATCTCTACATCCATCTCTCCCTCCTTCCATCCATCCATCCACCCAAGCATCCACCCACCCACCCACCCATCCATCCATCCATCCATCCAAACATCCATCCATCCAAACATTCAAGCATCTCTCCATCCATCCCTCCCTCCTTCCATCCATCCACCCAAGCATCCACACACCCACCCATCCATCCAAACAACCAAGCATCCATCCATCCATTCCTCCATCTGTCCACCCATCCACCCATCCGCCCATCCACCCATCCACCCATCCACCCACCCATCCACCCATCCATCCATCCATCCATCTACCCTTCCTTCCTTCCTTCCTTCCTTCCTTCCTTCCTTCCTTCCTTCCTTCCTTCCTTCCTTCCCTCTCCTGCACGATACCCACCTTAGAACACAGGTGTAGAAGCCGCTGTCTTGGACTTCGGCCGTGTGAAACCAGATGGCATCTTCATCCTTGTTGATCCTCCCTTCCGAGAAGATAATGGGCTCTTCAAAGTCCCCTTTGTTTTTGTACCACATCAGACGCAGCCCTGAGCTTTGAGCCATGCTGTAGTTTGTGCGGATGTAACTGTAGAAAAGAGCGCATTTCACGCGCACCGGCTCACCGGCTAAGGCCATGTACTTCTTGAGGTCCACCAGCCAATCAATGCAGCCATCCACTAAAAACAAAAAGCAAAAGCAAAATGTCATCACAGTTGCCAGGTTTCCAAACCCAGCTGGGGTTTTTTGGCAATTGATCTCACAGGTCTCTTGATATTTCATGGTTGAGCATGACTTGGCTAAAAACTCTTAAAGCAGGACCTGGCTGCATTTCTGAGAACCCCATTCTTTTAAGATGTTCCTTCTACCACTTCATTATTTTTCTCTGTTTTTAGTTCCCTCAAAGTCCTTCCAATCTCTGGCTTGAGGGACTAATTTCCAAATCACAGCATATCAAATACAATTACAATACCGTCTCTTGCACCAAGATAAGTTCTGCTCCGTTTTCCACTTCAAACCCATTATCGTGTACGGTCTTGAGAAAGGTTAAGCTCAAGACAGGGAGCTGAGAACATCCACATGTTTGAAAAAAGAAGAAGCAAAAAAAGTCAAGTACCGTATCTCACTTGAAAGCAAGATTAAATCCCTTTTGTAAAAGTTGGCGATTCAAATTCTAAAATGCGGAGCTTGAAAAAGCTGGACGCAACATCCAGGCTGCTAAACGAGGAGATGATTTCTCCCGATAACCTCCCCATATTCACATAACTTCCCCAGATGCGTATACATGAATGGGGGTGGGGGGATCCACAAGATTTTAATCTTAATTAGCTGGCATTCAACAAAAAGGGGAGGCACGGAGACTCAGTGATTAAGATGCTGGGCTTGTCGGCTGGAAAGCCGGCAGCCCAGGTTTGAGATCTGAGCGCTGCACGACAGAGTGAGCTCCTGTCCTCACTTCAGCTCCTGCCAACCTAGCAATGACTAGAGGAGTAAAACCCGCAGGGATTCCTTTACCTTACAAAGAAAAAGAGTTTGTGTGTAACAGACCAAGTTCTATTGTGATTTACATTTTTGCATAACAATGTCATCGCACAAGCAATGCAATTTGCATTGACTGCACCACTGAAACATTATTTGATAGGCCCAGTTTTGGAGAATAATGGATACACCCTTCCCATCCCACCCACCCAATGAGCTGGTTAAAATTCTATTTCATTAAACTACGGTTAAGTACAGGAAGTAAATTATTCATACAACCTAACTTCCTTTCTCCTGGGAATAACTTTTCCGATTCTTCTTTATACTGAGCATCAGAACGGTACACAGGCTCTAAATATTTTATTGAATTAAATATGTGCAAAACTCTTCGTGTGTCATGCATAAAAGACCATTTAAAAACTTCCCGGCAAATAACACAAATTAAGAAAACAGATTTTTTTTTTAAAACACTGGGAGGTTTCTGAATGAGGTTAACAAGGGATTAAATATTTCTTTTTGATGCTAAAGAGCCTTGTCTGAATGGCTTATAAAACAGATCTTGCCAATAACGCTTCAGATTTTTTTTAATTCAGCCAACGCTTGGACTGAGCAGCAGATACGATTTTGTGTAAAGACAAGTCTGTTCAAATCGACCCTTGAGAGACTCCACACATACAAAGCTTTCTCCTCATTGCTTTTAAAAAACCAGACAGCATAAATATTTGCTCTCCTCATAACATTTCATCATTCATAACTTTGACCCTTACAATAAGTGATTCCCTAGTCAGTCTTCAGATTGTCCAGAATCTTATGTAGCAACGGAGACTACAAACATATTTCTGAAGAAGAAGAAAAATCACGAGAGCAGTGATGGTCAACCTTCTGAGCTTGGTGGGTCAAAAATTTGGAAAATGTCTAACTTGACTTTGCTGGCAATATCACACAGCTCCCTCCCCCAAACAAAAGAAAGTATTTACATATTTGTGTTTGTTTGTTTGTTTAAAAAAAATACAGTCCAGTCATGTTCCTCTGGAAGTTGTGAGTGCTCCATCACTGGAGGTTTTCAAGAAGAAGCTAGAATATGGTATATAGGGCAGGGGTCTTCAAACGTGGCCCTTTTATGACTTGTGGACTTCAACTCCCAGAATTCCTCAGCCAGTCTGCCTGTCAACGCAAGGCCTTTGTTCTTGAAGTGGCTTTGAAGAATGTTCTTCTACAGCAGAGGTCCCCAACCTTTTGGGCACCAGGGACTAGAACTCCCAGTTTCCTGGCTATTAGCTCAAAGTCACCCAACCAGCTTTCAGGGTTAAGGCAGGAGTAGAACTCTCAGTCTCCTGGCTATTGGCTCAAGGTTACCCAGCCAGCTTTCTGGTCTAAGGCAGGACTAGAACTCAGTCTCCTCCTTTCAAGCCAGGTGCCTTAACCACTAGACCAACCTGCCTCTCTCTCAAACCCTCTCTTTGGAGAGTTATTGCAACATGAGCAAACTGCTTCTGGTCCATTATCCCTTAATGACCCAAGAAAAGTCAGCATGGAGAAAGTCAACATTCATCCCTCACGCACATCGTCTTCAGCATGATTCTTGGAATCCATGTCATCAAGAAAACTATCTCATTACTCCAGAGATATTCTGAAGTCAACTGGTACTAAAAAAAAAAAAAGGAGAGAGGACAATACACTTCCATGCTAATAAACCTTCTTTTGCATCAGTCAAGACCAAATATTAGTAACTTTTTTTGGTGCCAAACTCAGCAGCTAATGATGGGAATAATTAACAGATCGGGGTACATCCGTTGAAAGAGGAAAGACGCGGGCTATGCATCTTTATTGTTTCTGCCTAGTTAGAAGCTTTTTGTATTTGTTTTCTGGCTTAAACCTCTGATGACTCCAAAGGATATAATTACAAACAGCAACGTGTGCTGAGAATCTGACGGAAGACTATTTATAAGAGAGCATGTAACATCTGATGACATTTCGGGGGAGGGCAAGAGAAGAAGCCCTCGCCACGCGCTTAGATGAAAATCATAATGATCAAACAGAAGCTAATCAAAGTGACAATGTCCTCTCTTTTCTACAATGTCATTTTCTCTCGTCAAAAGAACACCGCCCGGGCTTCTGTTTTACACAGCTCATACATGGCCTCGAATCTAGGTCAGAGCTGTTCACAACACACTCTTGGAGATGTTGAACGGTGCGGGGAACAAAATGGCAGCACCAGGAAGACCATGGGTCGGAGGGATCTGTGGCCTCAGGGTCAAGCATGAGTTCCACCTCTAACCTCTGGGAAAAGCCTGACAGAAAGAATGAGAAACCTTGCGAAAACTCAAGTCTTCTCCGATACTCCAGGAAGAGATCTCCAACAATGGTGCTGAAAGTCTAGGAGAGGTCAAGGAGAACTTGGAGGCACCATAATTTTAAAGAGTTCAAGCCAACTAGAACTAGCCCAAAGAATGACAGTGAGGATAATAGGGCAACTCTTTTTATGGGGAGATAAGTTAGGTTTTGTGAAGAGCCATTGCAGGAATTGAGTATATTTAAGCATTAGAAGTGAAAGCTGAAAAGGGGTCATAAGAGCATTCTTCAAGTGTCTGAAGAAGATCCAAATGAAGAAGGTTAAGACCTGTTCTTGATGGTGCCAAAATGTAAGACCCGGCATCAAGATCTTAACTTAGAGAAAGACAGATGGCGCTTGAAAGTTAGGAACTTTACTATACTGTAGACAAAAAAGGTCATACTGAAATAGCTACAAATCATGAATGTAATATATGTCAGAGAAGGAGTGGCAGAGCCTGGGGGCAGAGTTAAAAGAGGGATAAGCCTAGAATCCCTACATAGCCACAAGGGGACTTAAGTCCAACCTCCCTTGAATTCCATGGACTCTGATCTAACTCCAAGCAGATGCCAACTGTTAGTTGGACATTAATCTTCTCAACTAAGAGTTACTACCTGCTTGGAGTTAGATAGGGTTCCATGGAATTCAAGGAAAGTTGGACTTAGTCTGCTTGTGGCTACGTAGGGATTTTAGGCTGATCCCTCTTTTAACTCCACCCCAAGGTTCTGCCATTCTTCCTACAGTATCATCCTGACCAACTAGGATGAGGATGGGAGGACTGGATGGGTGATGGGTGTGTTTGTGTGTGTCTCTGTGTGTGCCTGTGTGTGTGCCTGTGTGTGTGTGTACTACAGGTAGTCCTCGACTTATGACCACAATTGAGCTGAAAAAATTATGTTGCTAGGCGAGACATTTGTTAAGTGAGTTTTGTCCCATTTTACAATCTTTCTTGTCACTGTTGTTAAGTGAATCACTGCAGTTATTAAGTTAGTAACACACATGAATCTGGCTTTTCCAGTTGAATGCACACTGCTTCCGGAAGTCCAGTCTAGGCCTTGGAGGCCTGGAGGAGGCCTCCCAGGCCTAAAACAGCCTACCAGAAGAGCATGGATGCCACTTCCGGAAGTCCATTCTAGGCCTCAGAGGCCCAGGCTTGCATCCAATAAGAGAAGCGATTGTTCAGGTATTTGAATCCCACCACTGCCTATCCTGCAACTAAAGGTGGTTTGGTAAGTGTCAACAACTCCCCAAACTTAAGAGAACTGTTACGTCAATATATCTCAGTCTCCCAAGACACTAAATAAAGTGGGAACTATCCATTTACACAGAAAGATGAAAGGAAAAAGCTGAGAACTATAAATTCTGGAGGGCACCTCTATAAAAGCTCTCAATTCTTTATTCTGAAGTTGACAATCAGCTGTGCCTCAGACTCCATTCTTGTTGCCAATAAAGAATGCATTACACCCATTAACCTCCACTACTACCTCTTAAATAATGGATTGGGTTTTATACTTAAAATCTATCCAGCAGTCTAAGGATTCTGGGTGCAGATTACCATGAACTGTATAATATTTCATGAGCAATTATAAGCAAGCATGTACACAGTTTCCAAGTAATTCCTCTCGCCACTCGCTGTCACCCGAATAATCTTTACCTTCTATATCTGCCGGTAATAGTTTATGTTAGCAACTGTCACTGGAGCAATTTATAACTGCGGCGTTTGTTAGACATGTCAGTCTACCTTGTTAGCTCAAGCCTACGTTTAAATTCAAGGCAATAGGAAAATATGAGTTAGATGACATGTGTGACTTTATTGTTTGCACATGCCTAAGTGTATTAGGAATGCTGACCAAAATTGCTTCCAACCGGGAGGAAGGATAGAGGGAGGAAAGAACGGAAAGAAGGAAGGGAGGGAGGGAGGGAGGGAGGAAGGAAGGAAGGAAGGGAGGGAGGGAGGAAGGAAGGAAGGAAGGAAAGAGAGATGAAAGGAGGGAGGGAGGGAGGGAGGGAAGAAAGGAAGGAAGGAAGGAAGGAAGGAAGGAAGGAAGGAAGGAAGGAGAAGGGAGGGAGGGAGGTCAACAACCTATGGGCTGCAGCCCACTACCAGGGCTCCGCAGCCTATTGGCTACCAGGTCATGTGATTGGCCGACCGATATGCACATGTGCGTGCATACACATAGCCCCACTTGTGCGAGCATCGCCGTGGGCATTCGCGGGCCTACTTGCACGAGTATGAACATTGTGGGCACTCACGGCCCCATTTTGCGTGAGCAACAGGTATTTGTGTGCATGCATGCACGTGCACATGGATTCACCCTCCACAATACCACCCCTTTTCCCACCTCCGCCCACTCCGTGCCACCAACCCCCAAAGGTTGGGGAACTCTAATTTAGAGCATTTTGAAGTGAGCTGTTGTACCCCCCTCAGTTAGGAATTGGGACTTTAGCGATTTCTTCCACCTTGCCCTTTGCTCCTGGGTCTGTCACAGGTCCCATCAACCTTTCTTTGGCCCCGCCATTTCTGCTTCCCAGCTTCCTTCTGATTCCTTCCCAGGAAAACTGATGGGAACCCATCTTTCATTGGGTTTAATGAGGCTTCTTCTTCTGAAGCCAAAGATTGCTGGAGAGCTGTCTCATACAAATGTCCTCAGTCAAGTCAGAACATTGACCCACCTAAAAGGAAATGGCTCTTCAACATCAAAGGCCATAGGTTTCCCAACCCCATCTGTGGATGCTATCGATTGGCCTCTGGACCTCCGTTTGCCAAGTGGGTCCTTCATTACTGGCCCACAACTCTCCTGGATTCCAGAGGTCTCAAATATTTGGCTTCGTAAGCAGCAGAAATTTCAGCCAGGTCAACAAGTCTGAGAAGCCTAAGAGACATCAGCGTCTCTTCTTTATGGCCGCTATTGTTCTTCGAAGAGTCTCTTTTCTCCACCCTGACTTACAGCTTCCCGTTCAACATCTGGCAGTGCTAATTTCCACTGCAATGAAGCCAATTAACATTTCCACTCAAATGACAGGGGGGACCTTTGCTTGAAAAGGTGTTGACCCTTTTTCCGAGACCGAGGTTTGTCATTCCTTCTCCCGCTTCAATTCATTAGCCAGGTGCTGCTGCAGAATTTAAATAGCTCCCACAACGACAGAAGATAAGCAGGCACTGGGTGGCCACTAAGAAGACACAGCCAGATTCAAAACGAAAGGACTGTTTGCTCATCAAGTGTAAGTAACATACATGCCGATGTCTCCTTTGGAAATCAGCCATGCTGGAGAGTTGTTGGTGGTTTTTTCATGATCCAAAAATAGGGAACAAGAGAAATATGGCAATCGGTCCGAAATACAGATGCTAAAATACTGAAACGAGACAACTAGAATATTTAAATTAGTAGGACAGGGACAAGGGGGGGGCAATTTTGTCCGCTGACCTATTTCCCCGAACACCTGAGGGCAGGACAAGAAGTAACGGGTGGAAGATTATTAAAGAAAGTTCCAAGCAACCCAGAACTAAGGAGAAAGTAAGAAGTTAGAAACTAAGGACAAATTTTGTGGCAGTGAGAACCATTAATCAGTGGAACAGAAGCTGTGGGTGCTCCATTACTAGAGGTTTTTAAGAAGAGACTGAGCAGTCACTTGTCTAGAATGGTATAGGGCTTGAGCAGGGGGTTGAACGAGAAGATCTCCAAGGTGCCTTCCAAAGCTATTTGTCAAAGTTCCGGCTGATGATCCCAACGAAGTAAGCATACCTGAGACCTTACGGTCTCTAATGCAAAACTTTATTGAGCAAGCATACCGGCACTAATGAATGGAAAACCAACTCTGGCAATATGGTGCCAGAAAAATATGAACACTTCAGGTTCACATTGCCCAATTAAGCTTCAGGCCGTTGTTATGAGATATCTTCTGCGATCTTGCTTCCCAGCAGATAGAAACCACCTATGCATTCCATACATTCCCCTCCTCCCCGGAACTGTTGGCAAGCTAGAAGCAGTATGGCTGTCCTAGTACAAGCCATCTTCATAGCTGGACACTATTATTCTATGCTCTATGTTGTGGATGACTGGCCCAAAGTCAGCCAGCTGGCTTTCATGGCTACGGTGGGACTAGAACTCACCATCTCCTGGCGATTGACCCAAAGTCATCCAGATGGCTTTCATGGTTAAGGCGGGACTAGAACTCACCGTCTCCTGGCAATTGACCCAAAGTCATCCAGATGGCTTTCATGGCTACGGCGGGACTAGAACTCACCGTCTCCTGGTGATTG